CCCCCGCCACAGACTTTTATAAACCCAAAGTCCATGAGAAAAGAAAACCAACCAAAACAAAAGCCTACATCTATTTAGAAGAAACAGTGTGAGCGGTGCCAAATCCTCCTCAGAGCAAAACTGTTTAACTGCCAGTTAAGAAGGCCGATGAGCCACGAGCCAATCAGATTTGTCGTGAGCCAGGCAGACCTGTTGGTGCACCTGCTGATTCCCAGGCCTCCTTGCCAGTCTCAAAGTAGAGTGAAACCTAGAGTGATACTGGCCGTGTGCCAGAAGAAGAGTTGGTTGATGGCTTCTGACACAATTGCTTGAAGCAGGGCATCCTGGGAGATCATCAGTGAGAAGATGAGAAGGAAAAAAAAGGTGACTAATCATGAGAAGTCAGGGAGGAGGAGGACAAGTTCACTTAACTCATGGGAACCTAAAACCTGTCCGACATGAGCTGCAATGATTGCTCAATGAGGGTATTGTGCCTGTACAGTGAAAGAGACTGTGTTTGCATCATGTGTGACTGTACGTTGCACTCATCTGAACCTTTCGCTTATCATCACATGTCGTGTTAAAGGTGTTTGTAAGGCATTCTGTTGAGTCTTTTCTGATGAAGAATTGAAAAATAATTCAACTGGACATCAAAGCTATGAAAAGTCTTCCAACCTGTTCTCACACACACATACATAGACCGAGGCTGACTGGAACGGCTGGATTTCATTTTTTTATTGCCACTCGCCCACTACAATATCTGCTAATTTTACATGATGAACTTGATTCGTATACCTCGCATGATGTCATCAACTCAAACCCACATAAAGTGGAACATAATCTTTTCCTTTTTACAGAAAACACCAAAATTCAGTTTGAGGTGCAAAGCATTTTTGCTGTAACACCTTTATCCTGCATATAATTTTTGCAAAATTGGTCACTCATTTACTTAATGTAAAAAAAAATAAGGCAGAAAGAAATATTTAAGATTAGTTAGAATGAAAATATGTTTAGCTAAGTAAGCTATGGCATGCTAACTTGTCAATTGCTATGCTTCCTTCATGCAAATAAATGCTTTGCGCAATGTAAGAACAGAAACACTGTGACTACACAATTGTCCAAATGTATATTAGATGAGATCAGACAAATGAATGCTGACTCATGTTTATTTTCTTTTGATTGACTCAGTCAAGCCTTCGTGTCTCTGGGTCTTCTCATAAACCTCGAAGAATCATCAGAGCTGCCCCGAAATTAGGAATGAAAATAAGAGAGCTTCAGATTTTTCTCTGTTTATCTTAAATCCACGAATGATTTATTTTTTGCTTTTCTTCATTGCTGAGTTTCTTCCCTGACCACCATCAGAAATAATTTCATAAAAGATTCTGCTCAGCATGAGGACATTATCTGCACTTCAAGCTTTCCACACTTGAACAGCCTACCCCAATATTTTCAAAACAAGACACAGAAACATGCCTTATTACGCTTTTTGAGGCATCAATTGTTGCCTGGCAACTGTGCAGCCAAGCATCCCTTCTGCTGACGTAATTTATGACCTCTCTATGGATGCTGGAGAATATTTTTTTAGGAGCTAAAAGAAAAACAGTCTGATATTCTGATAAAAAAAAAAATAAAAAAATCTATGCCAAACAGATCAGATACCCAATGCAAACTTTATTACACACTCATATTAATGTTTATATATTTATATCCATATGTTTCAAACTTCTTCATTGGAAGAAAAGGCCACATGTAATGTGATATCTTAACTATTTTAACCAAAGGTCACGGCTCTTTAGCAGCATCTGATCCATGAGAGAGGCGACTCAAAGTTCACTTCTCCAACTTGTGACAGCGTCAGATGACCAAACATCAGCTCCCGTGTGTGACCTCTCCAAACAGGGTCAGAAACCGGATGTCCCGAACAGCAGAAGGTCAGACGGAGACCTGACACACGAGCGCATGACGGAGGGCACACTGACTAACGGCAAACATACAGCCGGTGTACCAGGCTGAGCGGTTGTTTTTGTCCTCCAGCTCACTTGTGACTCATCTCCACCGCACAGCTGTCGTGGCCTCCAACCATTTCACGACGCTTCTCGTCTCAGTCTTTTCCACTTTACGTCAGCAGAGCTCAGTCTTTAAATGACCATAATGGACCCTTTAATCTTTTCAGCCTCTTATTCCTAACAACAGACCACCGAAGAAGTTTATGCTCAATGACAGAAAATGACTTAACCTTGAGAGATAGTCTCTAATGTCTTCATTCCTTTGAAATCACAATTAGTAAGTGATTGCCACTAAAACCCATTATGTGGATTCCCATAAAAACCAGTCAGAAGTTACTGGTCATGTGACAAAACATTCAAAACACAATTCAGAAGGCAATTTGGCTGAATCCCATTTACTACCATTACTCTTTCCACCAGCTCTCCTAATCCCCCACTTCCTGGGGAATAAAAAACAGGGACATTATTTCAAGACCCATGAAAATGTAAACACCTGGAATAACAGAGGTTATTTTTCAGTTTTTGTGGCAGAATATATTTTAGCTAATATTAGGAGTCCACTCCCCCTTTTATTAAGATTAGAATTTAATTAAACAATGTACAATAATTTGTATCAAACTACACTTTCTACTGAAAGTAAAACATTTTAGCTTGAGAAGAAGATATAAAGTGATTGGCAATAATCAGTTACACTAAGTTTAATGTCAGAAAAATTTAACCCTTTCATACATAATGCTCACTGCAGTGGGCAGCAATCTAGAAGCCATTTTTTCCCATGTGTTCTTATGAATTTTTATGTTAGAAATGCACATGAACCACTGACGTGGACAATATGGCATCAAACAATATGCTGTCATATTGGCCATTTTTGTTAAATCCAATATGGCAGACAGATGAAAAAACAACTCAGGAATATCCAGTCCCTTTTTCTAATGCAGAGGACTTGTACAGGTAAAAAAATATATTGTGACATCAAGTAACCCTTTAAGACTAATACTGCTGTACTAATGTGTTTTACAAAAAACTTTGTATTTGGAGAAACTTACAAATGATCATCTACAAAAAAAATCTGGAATTTATTTCATTTTTTTTTGTAAACATTTTTCCCCCCAACCTTATTTTTGTGCCTTAAGAAAATGAACAAAAACAGTTTGTAAAAAAATAAAATAAAATGCTGAACGGGTTAAATTAGACATAACAGCGGTGATTGTGCCTTAAAACGCACATTTGCAAGCCTGATTACTTTGTTTCCAAATGCTCTCCTAAGAAATGTCCTGACGCCACAAAAACAGCTGCTTCACTTTAACTTTTAGAAATGTTTGATGAAGGGCCAAGAAAATGGGATTTATCCCTACTGCGGTAACTACAAACCAGTCAAGCTTTATAGTTTTCTGAAGCTGAAAACCTGTAGAAAAGAGGGTGTGTATGTTTTGTATCAGCCATTGCCATCAGACATGATAATTGCAAACTGTGCAGCTGATCTTCACAAAGGACACACAGATTTACTTTAAAAAGCTTTTTGTTTATTGTTTTCATCATGTCCATCTGAATTATAAAGGAAAGAATCGGGATGGTTTTGAGATGACAGTGATGCCAAAAAATGTAACAAATCATAGTTTTAAAGCTTGATAGCTTTTAAAACCCAGTGCCCCACATAAATATAAACTCTCTGGTAAAGCTGTGTAAAACCCCTTAAGATGAAATAATATTTTATTGCAGTTGCATATTTCCTCACTAAAAACATACGCCCAAAAAAAATCCATCCATTAGCATGACATCATTTATCTTATTATTTTATGTGCCCGCAGTTCAGAAAACAAATCGCGCACACACAAAACATGTGATGCATTGTAACACTTCCACTTCATTTTTTTAATGTGGTCAGAACGTCAATCGACTGTCAATAAGTTATCCGTAACTTCTTGTTTCCTGGAGTTAACGTTAAATGCCATTAAAGTTCTCTTATCCCTCCTTCAAAATGGGAAAGACAAGAGAACAGACTGCTGTTGACCTTCATAAGTCAGGAAATGGCTGCAGGAAAACACTGCCATGTCTATGCCTGCCCATACCCGCAGTCATTTATTAAAAAGCATCAAACATCTGGAACTGTGGCAAACATCTTGCACTACATTGTGACTTTGCACACTTCAGGAGGATGTCAGGGAGGCGAGAAACCTCGCAAAAGAGATCTGCGTAGCATTTTCTGTGTAACATTATGCAACTGCAAAACAAAATGAAGTCATTTTAAGGCGCTTTACACATTTCTACATGTGGTGCCAGTAAACATGGACCCGCACTTGTTTAGAATAAACAAAAACATGAAACTCACTTCCACAAGAAGCATAGTAAAGCTTGTACTTATATACACATATATGTTCCTCATATTATAACACTGGAGTGCAAAACTTTCCAAAAGGTTTTTCTTTTTTTTTGAAAGGCATAAAGTTGAAAAGCAACATTCAGATCGAGGCTTTGAGTCTTTTCTCTGCCTGTGCTCACTGTGCGTCAGAGATCAGGAGTGTATTGAGCTAATAAACAATGACGGGTGATTTTTGAAAGGGAAAAAAAAGACTCCTGCAGTGCTTTGCTTTGACAGATGCAGATTGAAGAGACAGAAAGCCAATGGTGTCTGTACAGCAAGACACCATTGACAAGAACCAGTTTTTGTCTTAGCCAAAAGATTGAAAAGGGAGCGACATTACGTTTCCTTGAAATGAAAAAAATATATACGCTTTTGTTGTGAATCATAAAAATCGAATCAAAATACGAATGTCAGGTTCAGCAGGTGTGTCACCTGGCTTCCTGGAAGAATAAAAAAAAGCCCGACCAAACCAGCCGGGGAAGCTTTCACGAACAGGTAAGAATGCTGCGCCTAATTGTAGCCGGCACATAAAATTAAGTCATTGCTGCGAGAAAAGTGAGAAAACAACACCCATCGGCCAGGACACAGAGTCCCACCACTTTCGGTTTGTAGCCAATAGTAAAGTAGAGCATGCAAATTTGTTGTTTTGCTTCTTTCCTTTTAAAAAAAAATATATATATATATACTGGTCAGGCCTCTGCAGCTGCACCTCATAAAGCCTCAACTCAATATTCTATCCCTCTGACGTGTGCACCACACGACTGGTGGACACACAAAAAACAGCATGTGCAAACCCTTCTTCTCTTGTTGACTTGGAACAAATATGTGAATATGCAACAGTCTGGTAAGTGTGACACCAATCACAGGCTGGGAAATGTCCTTGTGTTTGCTTGGTCAGTTCATAGTACCGTCCGCCTCTCTATCTGTATTTGGCATCAAAGAAAAGACAAGCCAACTTTACTAATAAACAATTCCACAAATTATTTCATGAAAAGACAACTTAAATAAATAAAGAGTCTTCAAAGAACTGAATTTGGAAAGAGTTCAGATGAAGCAGAAGAACTTCTTCCAGCTGCACCTCGAGAAAGCTTTGGTGCGCCTGTCGGAAAACCTCCTTTTCTTCCCCTTGCGCGTTTTGTTCTTAATGGCAGCAAAAATAGCCGCATCAAACGCCTCCTTCAGGTTCTTCTGTGTCAGCGACGAGCACTCGATGTAGTCCGTGGCCCGGATCTTGTCCGCCAGGCTCCGGGCCCGTGAGCTCAGCACCGGCTTGACTTTGCACTTGTCCAGGTCGATGAGGACGTTGACATCCAGCAGCCGGTCCAGCTGAGTCCCAACGAGGATGATGGGGGAGGACGCGTTGTGGGCCCGGATGTCCGGCACCCACTTCTTGGTGATGTTGTGGAACGAGTCGGGATCGACCATGCTGAAGCACAGGAGGAAGACGTCGGCATGGGCGTAGGACAGAGCCCGGAACTCGTCAAACTCTTCCTGCGAGGCAAACAAAGACACACAGAGCTGTTTGAGTATCACTCAAGATCTCTAGACACGACCGGGGAAGCGGCAATCACTGACTCACTGGAAGTGAGCGAAAAGATTAAAATTAATTGAGAAATCTTGCTACTGAGTCACAAACTGGTTTCAACAAAGAATGTCAAGGTTTTCAGGCATTACACCTTGAAATGATAAAAATCAACCTAAAAAACCTTTTATCCTTTTCATACTTAAAAAAGTAACCAATATTATGCTTTGAAATTATAAAGTAAATTCAGCAAACAAATAATGACAAATATATTTATAGCTGTTAGGATATTGTGCGTGTGTAAAAATATCCAAGCATGCATTTCCATAGGATTTTACTGTCCAGCTTCGTTTTGGAAAATAATTCAGATAATTTCATAGAAGGCAAATAGCTTTTGTCTGACATGGTAATACAAAACACATTTGCAAAATTGGAAAAAAGTCTAAGAATTGTAACATAAAAAAATACTTTTTCTTTTTTAAGTACTGTAGATTTTGTTTTGTAGACATACAGGCTTGGAATCCCACTGAAAATAAAGGAATCACAAGATCGTCCCATTTATGTATCAAAGCAAATTATGTTCCTTCAAATTTGGCTCTGACGAAACTCAAATGAATGTTGGTTGATGTGTGGCTGAAGTTCTTATTTTTGACGCATTTAATGAGAGGAAAAACTATAAATATTCCGTTTTGACCTGCCAACCACCGTTCAAAGGTGATCGAGAGAAAACTGGCCATTTCCAATCTGTGGCCGACTGATTGGTGCATCTTCATTTGTAACAATAACTTCTTCAATAACCCTTTCAAAAGTATCTACGTTCACAAACCCAACTTGTGTGACAATTCTGGTGCTCTTTGTTGTCCCCTATTGGTTTGGAGGCCCTATGCATCTTCTTAGTTCACTTATGCATTTTATCTGAGTGCTTGTGAAAAGTCAATATTCCAAATGGTTCTTTAAAAGTGTAACTTTAAGTGTCTCAAACAATATCAACAAAATCTACATCATTCAGCATGAAGTACTGCTGAAAACACATGTACAAAATAAGAACCTTACCTGTCCAGCTGTGTCCAGAAGTTGAATTTTTACTGGAGACCCTTCCACTTGGACCTGACCTGCAGCAAGCAACCTGATCAATGAGTTCCAACGACAGACCAAACATTTCTCAGTGGGAGAAACAACTCACAAAAAACAACTCACCAGAAAACACATCAAACCCTGTCTGCTGGTACTCCGCCGGGTATCCGTTGGAGATGTAGCTGATGATCATGCTGGTCTTCCCCACCGCTCCGTCTCCGACCAGCATGCAGCTGATCACATCGGGGTCCAGCTCGTCCTCCCGGGTAAGCCCGCAAGCTGAAGGGACTCGGGACTCGTGGTAAAAGTAATCCATTTGGGGTGGCATGTCGAGGTGCGAGCGTCAAAGTTCGGCACGCCAACTCCGTTTGCCTCCCACCTGCCTGTTCGCTGCGGCCGGTAAATCAGAGAGCGAAGCGCCTGTGCGTGTCCGCGCCGCGCATCACTGCCGCGACTGAAGGGTCGCGACTCCTTCCGCGAGACGCGCAGCAACAAGTGTGGGAGGCGCCTTTCTTAATGCGCCCTTCTGCTCCGACAGGTTGGTGATTTGCATAGGCACTCCCATGAAGATAAGAGAGCTTTAAACAAAGAGGTTTAGCAGAGCATGCGTTTCAAAGTCAGGGTTAAAATCCCACATGATGGTTTAAAATGTATGCCCTTTTTTATCATGTAAAAAATACAAACTCCAGTTTTATTGGGATTTTAAGTCGCACACCGACACTACAGTACATTGTAAATTAAAATCTGATTTCTTTGCAGGTCTTTAAGTCTAATAACTCTATATTTTGTTTATTATTATTATTATTATTATTATTATTATTAGTAGTAGTAGTAGTAGTAGTAGTAGTAGTAGTAGTAGTAGTATTGTTGTTATTATTCATGTCAGCATATACAATCAACCTCATAAGGTATCATAACTTGTAAGTTATATATTCACAACACATACAGCAGGCCAAACAAAACTAAACAAACAAACAAACAAAGAGAAACAAAACAACAACAAAAGACCCACAAATAAACAACCCAAAATGAATCAAGACTTTAGCGGCACAACTTGAATTTATGACATAAAAACAAAACAAACTAAATAATAATAATAATAATATTTTCAACAAAGTAGTCATCTTTAAAGAATTTTGATTTTGATTTTACAAAATGATACCCCTAAATGAAACCCATTAATGTTAGAGTATGTCAGTGCACAAACAGCAAAGACAGGCTATGGGGGGGGTTTGGAAAGAAGGTAAAAGGAAAGTTTGGTGATGAAATGATAGTGAAAAAAAAATTACAAGAAGAAAGTCAGTATCAAAAGAAGTTCAGCTTCCTGATTGGCACGAGGGCTGCAAACATGCGGAAGACAATTGGACTGGTTGGATGACTCTGAAGCTTTTAACGACTATGTTCAAGATGCTTCCTGTGACAAAAAAATAATACACTTCACCCTGAACAGACGGTGGTAACAGTGAAACATAGTGGTGGCAGCATCATGCTGTGACACATGGGTGAATGGGGGTTTAACGTTATCGGAGTTTGTGGGAAAATTGATGGATACACAATACACAATACACACTTAATGTTGTCAAAAAACCTGAGACTCGGGGTGAAGACTCACCTTTTCACAAAAGAGCAACTTTAAACACCCATGCACATAAGAACAATAACATGACAGATCAAAGCATATGCATGAGTTAGAGTGGCCCATTTAAAGTCCAAACCTGAATCCACTTAGGAAACTTTAGTGACAATTGTGTATTGCTCTTAAAGCAGAAGCTCTCAATTCACGATGGCTGAATTTAAATTATTTTGGAAAGCTACAGGGGCAAGACTTTCCATCCTACTTCAATTTTATTTATACTCCATGTTGTGTTGACTATGCACGGAAAACCCTCCACGATGCTTGAAGTTTTTGATGGTAATGGGACAAAATGTGGAAACATTTGTGAACATGTTTGCAAAGCATCCTAAAAGTCCTTAAATTGGCCTTTATTTGGCTCACAGTAAGATTCAGATACATAAAAAAGAGATATCTGCACATTATACACAAATCACATACATAGCTTCATATCGTATTAGATATTACACTTAAAGAGCAACTTTTCTAGTTTTGTATTTTAATATCTCAATTCACACCATTCTAATCTACACTCAGTGCGCCCTCTGTTGGTTTAAGGCGGCACTACACCCACAATGATCACATGATTCCCTGATCACCTGACTCTGAGGTTTCGCCTTGTGTTGTGCAGTCGGAAGCTATTTTGGATGCTATTTTTTTGCACGAGTGACTGAAACGTACTTTCCCCAATGCCTTTGAAGTTTAGGTGAACATTTTACGGCTTGCTGTGCGTATTTATTTCCAATTCAGATAGAAATCGAGAAAGTAAACAGGTTAGCTGAACATAGAACTGTTGCATGTTGCCAAACCTAGCTAGCTAGCTAGCTAATGTCGAGCATCTGAATTGTAGGGGGTAAAATAAGTGTTCCACTGCTCATTTTTATGATGGCTTCTATTCTTGATGAGTATGAGGATTCTCAAAACATCCGGCAAAGTTCTCAGCAACACAGCCGCCTGGGCTCTGCTAACATCGGGCTAACGCATTCAGGTAAGGTTTCCATGCTCTCTTTAGCAAAAGAGGAACCAGTGCATTAAAGAGCACTGCTTTGTAAAGCTACGTTCAAACCAATGTCTGCAAAAGTTGAACCGCTGCTCTTGTCGTCTGCCCCAGGCTTTGTGAATGTCAGACTGGAGGAAGAAAAGCCAATATTCAACAAGCAGAGGATTGACTTCACTCCACCTGAGAGGATAAATCACCTGGCAGTCTGCAACAACCAGCTCTGCATGAGTCTGGGAAAAGACACGTTGTTAAGGTAAAAAGTTCTTTTTAAACAGGGAAACAAAGGCTATACGTTCTTGTGGTTATTATTAAGGTGTTCTGCTGATATCTGTCAGTTATTTGCCATCCAAGTCAAGCTTTTGACAGTAATGTTGTCGGTTCTGTTCAGGATTGACTTGGCAAAACCAGATCAACCCAACCAAACCGAATTAGGAAGGAAAGATGACAGCAAAGTGTACAAACTGTTCCTGGACCCGACAGGTAAACTGTTAAAATGCATAAGGATATATTATCATGAAAAACAAGTGGTCCAAAACAATAATTTAACAACATGTTGCTGCAAAAGTATTATGAACCCTTGTACTTTTATTTTAACAATTTGTCCAATTTGAAGCACACATAATATATTTAATTGGAAATTCATGCAATAATGCATTACAAACAAGTTCATAATTTTGATCTCATATTATGAGATATTCCTACCTTTTCACAAGCAGAATTGGTGCATTTGTGTTTAGCCAGAATTACTCCAAAGATTCACAAAAGACATTCACCAAAGATTTTTGCTTATTATATTTGTTGTTGTTACTCTGCAGCTATAAAAAAGGCAATTTACTACGTCGCTACACCTTTCTGTACTTTATTCTTGTTTTTCAGATGTGTTATTCCAAACGCAAATGCACAAGCTTCACACACCATAATTTATCACAATAATGTGACAGTGGTATGATTACGAGATGCATAAAACAGCTAAATCCTCCTCTGTATTTTTTGTCCGCAGGCTCCCATCTGCTGATCAGCCTGAATACCAGCGAGTGTCTGTACCTTAATAGGAACACCCAGAAGGTGCGCAGTCTGTCCCGCTGGAGAGGCCACCTCATCGAGAGCGTGGGCTGGAACAAGCTGCTGGGCAACGAGACCAGCACTGGGCCCATCCTGGTTGGCACCAGTCAAGGGATCATCTTTGAAGCTGAGATCTCTGCGAACGAGGGCAGCCTGTTCAATACCAACCCGGATCAGTACTTCAGACAGGCAAGTGTTGGATTGAAGTTTCCCTTTCGTTTTTGTGAATGTTTACATTATTTATTCCTCTTGCATGTTTACTTAAATGCTTACTTAATTTTGTCCTGTGGCAGGTCCACTCCCTGGAAGAGGATGGCAGGCCAGCACCAGTCTGCTGCTTGGAGATAGAGCGAAGCCCAGAAAACAAGTACTTCATCATTGCCACCACCCGCAAGCGCCTGTTCCAGTTTGTGGGTAAGGTGGCCGAAGGGTCGGAGCAGCAAGGTCTCAGCACCATCTTCAGTCAGAACCAAGACCTGCTGCCCAGTTTCCAGGAGTTCCCAGCCAACATGGGATACAGTGAGATTACCTTCTACACAGCGAAACTTAGAAACTTCCCCAAAGCGTTTGCCTGGATGATGGGTAATGGCGTTCTCTATGGCCAGCTGGACTACGTCCGGCCCGATTCCCTGCTGAGTGATGTCCAGGTAAATATCTTCTAGATGGTTCTACCTGTTCAAGATTAAAGGCTCCCACATACATGACAGTCAAACTTGGTTGTCATTGATGTAGACACGTGATGAAAATTTCAAAAATCTTTTTGACTGCGTGCCGCACTCGACGCCAGGCCCTGGTCGAACTATTCCAGAAGAACTTTGTGCGAACTGTTGTCTGATTGATCAGATGTTTGTTGCTGTGCTTTATGGGGAAATGCATTCACACAGCAAAGTTAATATTTTCTTTCGACTCGTTCACTTTCCCTGTGCAGGTTTTGTATCTGCAGGAGATATGAATACTTTTGAGGAACGTTTAACTTGTGAGGAATTATGTACGTTTGTAATATTCTTCACTATATGACTACTATAATTATATGATTGGTGAATGGTAAGTTACTCCTGGATGGAAATTGTAACGTCAAAATTTCCATTCAGGAGGAGGCTGTCGGTAGAAATGTGTGGCGCTAACTGACTGCGTGCCGCCTGTTCAGCTTCAGATGAAGTATGTGGGGGTCTTAACTTTCTCTGCAACAAACCTTCTGCTAATCTGTTCTCTCAGGTATGGGAATACACACCAGACATTGACATTAGCCAGAACAAACCCATATCCATTGTGCTGACACAGTTCCACTTCCTGCTGCTGCTTCATGACCGAATAAAGGCTATCTGCACTCTGAACGGACAGGTGGTGTACGAAGATGTGTTCCCAGATAAATTCGTCCCCCTTAAGAGAATGATCAAAGATCCGATTGGGGGGTTGGTGTGGATCTACACGGAGCAGGCGGTTTTCCGATATCACATCCAACGCGAGTCTAGGGACGTCTGGCAGATGTACATGAGCATGAATAAGTTTGACCTCGCCAAGGAGTACTGCCGCGATCGGCCCGAGTGCATGGACATGGTGCTAGCTAAGGAGGCCGAGTACTGCTTCAAGAACAGGAGATACCTGGAGAGCGCCAAGTGCTACGCACTCACTCAGAACTACTTTGAAGAAATAGCGCTCAAATTCATTGAAGCAAAACAAGAAGAAGCATTGAAGGAGTTCTTACTGAAGAAACTGAACAATCTGAAACAAAGCGAGAGAACTCAGATCACCCTGCTGGTCACCTGGCTGACCGAGCTGTACCTGAACCGACTCGGGCAGCTGGAG